GATTCGTTGTATGTGCTCAGCCAAATTATAAGTAAAAATAAAGCTGTATGTGTTTTGTGTTATAGATATCAAGAATGTTGGTTACACGGTGTATTGTAGTATGTGTTTTGTGTTATAGATATCAAGAAGGTTGGTTACACGGTGTATTGTAGTATGTGTTTTGTGTTATAGATATCAAGAATGTTGGCTACACGGTGTATTGTAGTATGTGTTTTGTGTTACAGATATCAAGAATGCTGGTTACACGGTGTATTGTAGTATGTGTTTTGTGTTATAGATATCAAGAATGTTGGCTACACGGTGTATTGTAGTATGTGTTTTGTGTTATAGATATCAAGAATGTTGGTTACACGGTGTATTGTAGTATGTGTTTTGTGTTATAGATATCAAGAATGTTGGCTACACGGTGTATTGTAGTATGTGTTTTGTGTTACAGATATCAAGAATGTTGGTTACACTGTGTATTGTAGTATGTGTTTTGTGTTACAGATATTAAGAATGCTGGTTACACGGTGTATTGAAGTATGTGTTTTGTGTTACAGATACCAAGAATGTTGGTTACACGGTGTATTGAAGTATGTGTTTTGTGTTACAGATATCAAGAATGCTGGTTACACGGTGTATTGTAGTATGTGTTTTGTGTTATAGATATCAAGAATGTTGGCTACACGGTGTATTGTAGTATGTGTTTTGTGTTACAGATATCAAGAATGTTGGTTACACGGTGTATTGAAGTATGTGTTTTGTGTTATAGATATCAAGAATGCTGGTTACACGATGTATTGTAGTATGTGTTTTGTGTTACAGATATCAAGAATGTTGGTTACACGGTGTATTGAAGTATGTGTTTTGTTTTATAGATATCAAGAATGCTGGTTACACGATGTATTGTAGTGATACTTCTCCTCACCACTGTATGCTCCGGTACGTTAATTAAATGTTTTTTAATCACGTTAATTAAAAGCGTCACATCCGTTAATTATTATAGAAAGGGGTTGTCTAATTATTTGACAGCTTTCAATTATTCAAGTTTATTGATGTTTCAAATAAATCAAGTAAGTTAATCAGATCTAGCTCATACTTAAGTAAAAATAACATTCAAACCTACTAGCCCATGTGGTAGATAAAGTAGAGTTAATCTTTTTTGTAGGCATATAAAAGTAAATAGTCGTCAGCACTGTGTCCAGCCGACTTTATTTTCTCTAACGTGAGTCAGGTACCCATTAGAGCTGGGTGGACTCAGAGACTCAGGGACGTCCTATTGTCTCGAGTCCGGACCGCGATCCGAACTCAAGACCATCGGGCTAGTAGTTTCGATCTAACGCTTAACAGTTCAATGCAAAGCTTATTATGCTTGCGAACTGTGTCTGACGGTTTGCGTATTCATGCACGTTGATCTATTAATAACTGTTATTTTTTTTCTATTCATAAAAGATATAAAACAAACATAAACTATATTTAAACTAATAAGCTTTTTAATGCACTGATAAGATATAAAATAAAACATTTTTTTAAGAAAAGCATTGGTAACTAACATATTAAAGGAAGCAAATTTGTTTTCTTATTTTCAGTGCATTTAAAAACGCTTACTGTTAGAAATGTTTTTTTTTTAAATATTAGTTTTAATTTCTACATTTTATTAATTCGTTTTAAATGAAGTCGACACCACCAACGGCTTTAAAAGCCCACCGGTAGCTCCCAATCTCTAAAACACAATTATTTTCTGCCCCTACTCAGTTCATGGCCGACGCTCAAGCAAAACTCGAGACAGCCGTGAGAGACCTGAGCAAAGTCGTCTGTCAACTGACCAAAGTCGTCTGTCAACTGACCAAAGTCGTCTGTCAACTGACCAAAGTCGTCTGTCAACTGACCAAAGTCGTCTGTCAACTGACCAAAGTCGTCTGTCAACTGACCAAAGTCGTCGGTCAACTGGTATTCGACATTCTTCTCTCTTCTTTTTTTTAATTAATAGTTTTAGTATTAGTAATGTAATGATAAAATAAAAATAGACACTTGCATTTTCATCGGAGACGAATGTATCTGGAGTTAGAATAAAAGCGCTGCTAGAGAAGTGGGTCAAAAAAATTCAGTTACAAGAGTAGCTACAATCCCACAAGAGTAGCTACAATCCCACAAGATTAGCTACAATCCCACAAGATTAGCTACAATCCCACAAGATTAGCTACAATCTCACACACACACAAAAGTATGATAAGAAATATAATTGTGCTGAAAAATTGAAACAGACGTTTCAAATTTTTAGCGTTTCAGCCGCAGTTAATTAAGTTAAAATAAAGTATAATGATTTGTATATGTTTATTAAAAATGTTGTATTTAGTACATAAATAATAAAATGTGATATAGATTTATTGGTTAAATTTCTATTCCAGAAGAAAAGGAACCCGTGTATTACGGTAAGAAATTTTTTTAAAAGTTAAAAAAGATTTTCTAAATACGGAGTTATATAAATATTTAACTTATTATTCACCTGAAAAATTGAGTGAAACTTAAAAAAATTGATTTTGTTTTGAGGTTTTCCTTAAATAACATAATGTTATGAATAATGTAGATATGTAGAATCATTGTGTGTAAACATGTATCAGATTACACATAGTGGGTTCTACTGTTAGTTGTACATGCCATTCATAGACAACCCTAGACTAGACCCTCACGTTTTCTCTACTGGTAGAGTATCGTGATAGACATGAACAGGGGACTATGGAACGGAAAACTGCACAAAAGTGTAATGGATAATTTATAGACATTAGCAAAGAATAAAGTAAAAGTAACAAAAGATCCAACTTTTGACCTAACGATCCATTGGACAGATGAAGTAGAGTTCATATGAAGGGATTAATCTCGGTATAATTATGAAGGGATACACACTTGGCCCAGCTAACGTAAGTCAGGTACGCATCAGAGCTGAGTGGACTCGTGGACGTTCTACAATCACAAGTCCGAACATGTCCTTAAAGATAATAAGTTGCTAATTGTCTATAAATTAATGAGAAAAGTGTTTAGAGAGTGATATCTAATGTAGAATCACTGAAAAGTTAATCTATATATATTTGTATATTTTGTGTTTACAGAAGAACACGAACCTCAGTATGTAGGTAAGTAACAATTAGATAATCTTTGTACCTTTGCTTTAATAAACCTAGAGGAAGTTAGATGACATGATTATGCGGAGAAAGTATTATTGTTCTTGGTCACCAGTATCTTCAACATCAAGAAAAACGGTACACACATTAGGAATTCACGGATTTTTTTATTATAGAAGTAATGTAGCGGTGAGTTAGACACACATGCACAAAAACATATTATATATATATATATATATATATATATATATATATATATATATATATATATATATATATATATATATGTTTTTTTTATTATCACCAGAAACAGAAAACGATTACCCAGGTATGTTATGCCGTAAAAACATAATAATTCATTTATCCTATTAAGTTCACATTACATAAGAGGGGGAGGGGTGTCACCAACAGGGGGTTGAGAGAGGGAAGAACAAGTGGACATTTGCAGACATGCGGTGGTGTGCGGGAGCCTCGGGTATACCACAATGTGTACATAATTACATCAGCTACTCTTATATAATTCGTATATCTGCCGTAAACAAGAGATTAAAGATAAAGATTTATTTCATTACCTTCTCGTATACAGAGTATAGAGAAAGTATTGTAATCGTGCACAACAATCACATGAAATTTTGAGTTTTCACAGTTTTCCACCTCAGTCCTTTATCACATCCGGAGTATAACGTACTTATTTTAATGGGGCAAAAATTATAAATCAAAATATATCAAAACTATGGCGTTTTATACGTTGACTTAGCAATTCTGTCCGTTTGTCTGTGTGTGTATGGAATGTGTGTGTGTGTGTGTGTGTCTGTAAATATGATAACTTGAGTACCGTTACAGCTAGGTTGATGAAATTTCATATTTAAGTATTATATCAAATTTGTAGATCAGTATCAAGTTTTCAGCGATTTCCGATAACCGGAAGTGACACTTTTTCCACTTTTCAAAAGCCTATAACAAGTAGTATTTCAGATAGATAAATGAAATTTCACACGTAAGTAAAAGATCTAATTCTCTGCCTTCTGTCAAAATTTTGAGTAATTTCCGTTGACCGGAAGTAGTAATTGTCGCTATTTCCGATCTTTAAAAAAACGCTTGTGTATTTATAAAGTACCAATACTATTCCGCATTTTTATACACAGTTTGTTTGACGTTCACTTAGTGTGCAGTTCTTTTTTCTACGAGATTTTATTCTATATTAAAAAGTTTAAATAAGTAAAAATGGATTAAATACAATGTCTATATCCCCTGTTGTTTTATATAAGAATATTCGAGAAAGTTTAGGGGAGATCACTCCCGGATTATTTTTTCATTATTATTATTGCTATAGAACGTCACCTTTTAAACTTTTATTAGTATACTTCTACTAACAAACTTTAAAAAATTAGAATGTATATTTTAAAAATCTGTGTTATGCTTTAATGTGTAGACCTATATTAAAAAACTACAAACCTCTTAATTTTTTTATATCTCTAGAAATTGAAAAAGATTACCAAGGTATGTTTTTACCGACAATTACATTACTATTTATAGACTAATACACTTATACGTACGCATTTATTATGTGTAACTGTATTAATGTTTGGGGGGAGGGGGTATTGACAGGGTTATTTTATACGGTGGTGGGGTGTGTAAATGCTGGGTAATAATGTGGTACACTGTGTTAATACATTTTCAAATTAATATGATTGAATTCAACTTTTGTTTTGTATTTTTCAAACAGAAGTTGAATTACCTAATTGTAAAGGTAAGTCGAACAGTTTCGCCCCATTTACCTTCCTAACATTTGCACTATTTTAACACATCAGGTATTGCACTTTGATTATTTGCACTGCACATATTTACTGGTCAACTTATTTTCGCGTATTTATAATATCTAAGATCCAAATGGGCTGTCTATAAAATTTTAATTTATTTTTTCAGTTAAAATAGTTTGGCGTTGAAAGAAAATACTTCTGTGTTTATTTACATAATTAGCTGCTTACCTAACAAAGTGTTAAAATTGTTTTTTTTTTCACCGGCAGTATCCTTATTTAAACAACAGGTCTAGTTACATTTAAAAAACAAATTCTGTAGCACAGAATCTTGGAGTAAATTGAGTAGATTCAGCAATATTTTTTAAGCAGCCAGTTCTGCGAATAGGAGAGTAGGCCTATTCTATCATAACACACTAAAACGAGTGTTTTACTTAGATAAATTGGAATAAATGATTAAGAACAATTTTACAATATTAAACTTAATTGCAGGAAGACACAACGCCAACCCAACACCATCACCAAAACCAGCTACTACCACAACAACCACAAAACCAAAACCTACAACCACTATAACACCACCAAAACCTAAAACCACTACAACACCACCAAAACCTACAACCACTACAACACGACCGAAACCTACAACCACTACAACCACAACAAACCCTATAACCACTACAACAACACCAAAACCTACAACCACTACAACGACACAAAAACCTACAACCACCACAACAACACCAAAACCTACAACCACTACAACAACACCAAAACCTACAACCACTACAACAACACCAAAACCTACAACCACTACAACAGCACCTCGAACAACAACCACTACAACTCCGCCAACAACAACCACCACTACCACTACAACACCAAAACCAACGACCACCACCACTACCACTACAACACCAAAACCAACGACCACCACCACTACCACAACAACACCAAAACCAACGACCACCACCACTACCACTACAACACCAAAACCAACGACCACCACCACTACCACAACACCAAAACCAACGACCACCACCACTACACTAGCCCCACCCCCTCCCAGCGTAGAGCCATGTCGCAAGCGAACAAAGGCCGACATAATCTTTTTGCTGGACGCTTCGTCTTCGATTGGACCATCGAACTGGAAGAGACAGGTCAAGTTCGCCTCTGACGTCACGGAAGGGTTCAACGTTGGACAGGATGACGTCAAATTTGGGACAGTTATATTCAACAGCGACCCCAAGAAAATATTTGATCTGAATGTCTATTTCAATCACACAAGCTTGTCTAAGGTAGGTAGAACTATGTAAAATCTAGAAGGTAGAATCAATCGTTGAGTCATTATGTGTGAGCTTTAGTAAACTTTGTTAAGGAAAGTAAGTTTCAACTCCTGTTTTAGAAATAAATTGGTATCTTCGTATTTTATATGTCAAACTATATGATACTGTGTATCATAACGTCTTAGCATATAAAATCAGCTGGTGTTTCATCATGTCACCAGGCTCTGCTGGACATCCAGTATCCTTATCTCTCCGGCACCAACACGCACTTAGGTCTACAGTTTATCGCAGACGACAAAATGTTCAGCTCTATTTCAGGCGGGAGACCAGACGCCAATGATATCGTCATAGTTATGACAGATGGAAGGTCTGGTAACACCACGATAAGTACGTAATTCAATCTGACAAATATCTAATTAATCCTAGATACGGTGAAATCTTATAACTATGCCAATGAAAACTAATATCAATTTTAATCTCTAAAGTTATATTACAAAAATTATAATAACAATATTGATAATAAAAAAGAAATATTTTTTTTATCTTTATTATATTTTATAAGATGTTTGTATTATTCTGATTTAATTGTGAAATTCCTAATATGCAAATGACAACAAAGCTGAATTTTTTAAAACAAATACTTACGCGAATAGAATTGGTTAAATAAAAAAACATATTTGCCATCCATATAGCGCATAGATTATTTATAGTCATATTTCTTTTGTTTCAGCTCTAGAGACAGCTAAAAATCTGAAAAGTCAAGGCATTACAATGATATCTGTGGGTATTGGAGACGCTCCAAGTAGAGAAGAACTGATTGGGATAGCCAGTTCTCCTAGCTATGTCTTTGAGGCTATCGACTTTTCTTTGCTGGATTACATCAAACGTGACCTGGTCAAGCTGACCTGTGATAGTGAGTGTAGACTTGTATTTCAGATGGTTGTCTGTCTGTCTGTCTGTCTGTCTGTCTGTCTGTCTGTCTGTCTGTCTGTCTGTCTGTCTGTCTGTCTGTCTGTCTGTCTGTCTGTCTGTCTGTCTGTCTGTCTGTCTGTCTGTCTGTCTGTCTGTCTGTCTGTCTGTCTGTCTGTCTGTCTGTCTGTCTGTCTGTCTGTCTGTCTGTCTGTCTGTCTGTCTGTCTGTCTGTCTGTCTGTCTGTCTGTCTGTCTGTCTGTCTGTCTGTCTGTCTGTCTGTCTGTCTGTCTGTCTGTCTGTCTGTCTGTCTGTCTGTCTGTCTGTCTGTCTGTCTGTCTGTCTGTCTGTCTGTCTGTCTGTCTGTCTGTCTGTCTGTCTGTCTGTCTGTCTGTCTGTCTGTCTGTCTGTCTGTCTGTCTGTCTGTCTGTCTGTCTGTCTGTCTGTCTGTCTGTCTGTCTGTCTGTCTGTCTGTCTGTCTGTCTGTCTGTCTGTCTGTCTGTCTGTCTGTCTTTCACTCTGTCTGTCTTTCACTCTGTCTGTCTTTCACTCTGTCTGTCTGTCTGTCTGTCACTCTGTCTGTCTGTCTGTCTGTCTGTCTGTCTGTCTGTCTGTCACTCTGTCTGTCTGTCTGTCTGTCTGTCTGTCTGTCTGTCTGTCTGCCTGCCTGTCTGTCTGTCTGTCTGTCTGTCTGTCTGTCTGTCTGTCTGTCTGTCTGTCTGTCTGTCTGTCTGTCTGTCTGTCTGTCTGTCTGTCTGTCTTTCACTCTGTCTGTCTGTCACTCTGTCTGTCTGTCACTCTGTCTGTCTGTCTGTCTGTCTGTCTGTCTGTCTGTCTGTCTGTCTGTCTGTCTGTCTGTCTGTCTGTCTGTCTGTCCGTCCGTCCGTCCGTCCGTCCGTCTGTCTGTTTGTCTGTCTGTCTGTCTGTCTAGCAAACTGGATGTTTTGTTTTCATAAAGTAAGACTAAGTCTGTATTATGATATTACAAAATAGAGGTTCTAAAAGAAATAAGCAACATAATGTGAGATAATTTTATTACCTAACCTCTCGTTTAAAAATGTAGGCAGTTTGATTTAACATCTTATAAAAATTGTCTTACGACTCGATTAGATTGGAATTTTCCTTAACAACCAAGCTATACATTTCTAAAGCCTTAAATAGACAATATATAATTAGAGCTGACTAAATGGATACGTCGTGTCAGCTATGATAAGTAGGGAAGTTACAGTCAACTTTTTGTCTTCTAATATCAGCACAAATATCTATATGGTAAAGTGAATTTCAACTTAACTTGATTATTTTCGTTCACTATATGTTAGTCTCTGTAGTGTGTCTCCTGAATTTGTCTGTTATGTTTTCTCCTTCTATAATTATCTAGGTTTTAGACATACCTTATGGAAGTGATTTCTTGATTATTTTAATGTTTGCTATAATTACTAACATTTTTACACGAATTAATGTTTACTTATAATAGTGTTTTTACAATAATTAATATTTATTACTAATAGTGTTTTTTTTTCAATAATAAGTATTTGCTAAACATAGTTAGTGTTGTTTTTTTTTCCATAATTAAAGTTTTCTAACAACAATTCGCGTCTAACTACTACGTATAAAATACATTACATCAAAAACTTAGGTAATTTATCAGACGCATTTAATTAACCAAACATTTAAAAAAAATATGTAACCTATTCTTTTAAAATAAGTTGAACATATTTTCCATAAAAATTGTTTTATATGTCACCAGTTTTAGCTGACTCACACACTATATTTGGTCACCAGGTATTTGAAGTCTCAAGCACCGAAAGCCAGCCTGTAACCTATCTGTCAAGACGCCGCTCATAGCAGAATCGATGTTTAGAGAGCGATCTATTAAAATATTTAGGAGAAAATTATTTTTGTGTCAATTCTGTTGAGACCGAATATTATACGTTACGATTCTTTTGTGTTTTAAGTGTGTTTTGATTGCCGTTTTTATTTGCAAAACCAACTCTGTTGGTCAACGGCAGCGATTAGAAAGACCTGACTTCCAGTAATGTTGACATTTACCAGACTTGTGCTCTTATCTGTGTGAATCAGCCAGGATCGTCTCAAAGGGGGGGGGGGGGTTCCAATTTTTACCCGGGGTCAAACTTTCGATTTGCACCCCCCTCATACTTTTTATATATATGCCGAGGGGTCTATGGGGGGTTATGACCCCCCTAACGCCCCCCCCCCCTGCCTACGCCACTGGTGTGAATACGACAAGATTGAATTTATGTAGATGTTATTATAGATGTTTAGTGTTTAGTGTTGTCTACATTCACCAATTATCCAACTGACCAGGCAACGATTACACATATCCATGCCAACAGTCTGTATGGTGTAATATTCTAGCACTCGGCTAGCGACGATAAAAATTAAAATTCAAAATGCTATTTAAACATATAAAATAATATTATTTTAGAATAGAACAATTGAAACTATGCCATTTTTACTTTCTCGTATACGAAGTATAGAGAAAGTATTGTAATCGTACAAAAAAAATCGAAATCGAGATTTTGACAAATCTCGACGTTTTCGGAAAAAACATAGTTGTGCAATTTTGACCGTATGTCCGTGTGTGTGTGTGTGTTTGTGTGTGTGTGTGTATGTGTGTCTGTGAACACGAAAAATTGAGTACTAGGTTGATGTAATTTCATATATTTGAATTATATCAAATTTGTAGTTCTGTATCAACTTTTCAGCAATTTCCGGTAATCGGAAGTGAAATTTATTCTACTATTGGTTTTTCAAAAGCCTATAACTAGAGTACTGTTTCAGATAGATAAACGAAATTTCACATATAACTAAAAGATCTACTTCCTTGCCTCCTGTGCAATTGTGCGTAATTTCCGTTTACCGAAGGTAGTAATTTACGCTATTTCCATTTTTAAAAAGCACATATATGAATTTCAAAAGCACTAATACTCGGCACTATTATACACATATTGTTTACTGTTCATTTGGTGCGCAATTTTTTTACGAGATTCTATTCTATTTTCAAAAGTTTAAGTATGTAAAAAATTATTAAAAAGCATGTCTATGTTCCGAGTTGCCATCCCCGTAGTGTTATATCAGAATTATAAAGTTAGGGGAGATCACTCCCGCTTTATTTTTCTTCACGTTTGAACTGTCTAACCAGACACAAAAATTAGTTTTGAAACATTATATCTAAAACTACAGTTCTTGATATTCCTATGATGTTGGTTAAGAAAATAGGAATTACGAAAGTAAAGGTTACGAAAGTACAAGTGCCACGTGGATAATCCGTTTATAGTCGTTCGGTTTCAACACAGGATTATCGCCTTGCATCCTGCTGTTTAGAAAAATTAGCTAATCTTCAGATTAACTAACTTGCAGCACTAAACAAATGAACAGGCAAATATGTTACAGCAAATACAATATTGTATAAAAATATTATTATAAAAGCTCTCCGATAATAAAGTTTATAATTCACTAAAAATAAATTAAACTTTCTATATTTAAAAAAAAACATCGATAGTTCGTGAAACTTTATACCAGTTTTAAGTAGTGTTTTAATAAAGTCTACTACCCATGCAGGACCACATTAGCTGGAATCGTTTACTGATTGAAAAATATACTTTTTGGTGGACAGTGCAAAATTATATGGACATTGAAAAAATAGAGCCTATAAAAGTTTTTAAAAAAATTTACATTCAGTTTTAAACACATTAATTTTATCGCGATGCTCGTTACGTGTATATAAACCTTACACTTGATCACAACACTACGACACATACCAGGTTGTTTAAAAATTGGTTAAATTCTGGTGAATGCTAATGAAGACATTCAAAACATATTTTAAGTGAAAATTAACAAGGTTTAATAAAATACAAATTAACTGACTTAAATTATTTTTCAACCAGAACTGCCGGACATGAAAAACACGTTGCTCTCTTAAAATTATTTTTGACCTTTTAGCCAATGAATAAGAAATCTACGAACAATACGCTAGTCAGATAAACACATCGTAAAAACAAATCTTTAAAGAATACAAAAATTATTTGCCACTGCAAATAAGTGAAGGATTTCAAAAACAAGATTAAACTTTATATATATATATATATATATATATATATATATATATATATATATATATATATATATTATATATATATATATATATATATATGTGTGTGTGTGTATAATATTTCTTTGCTAGCTGCTCCCTGTAGCAGGAAGTCATGGCTACACCCCTGAAAATGTTTCCTATGTAGATCTAATTGAATAATTTAAAAAAAAAATTAATTGGCTTCCTGCTGAATTGAAAGCGATCTCTTGTGTCAACAAACTACCCAGCACGTGCACCTGGCCTCGACTTGAACGACTCGTGTTACAAACTATGCAAAGCCCTGGCCCGTCACCAGGTGAAATATGAATCTACAAACATTAGCGACTTAAGTTCTCATTTGTAATTGAAAATAATGATTTGTAAATATTGAAAACAAACAAGAATGGTAATTGACTTAACTTTAATTGAAATTGTGTTACTTACTGAAAATATGAAAGTTAATGAGAAAATTTTTCAAAAATATTGATTTGAACTACACGGCAATGTTATAAAAACTCTTGGTATTGTTACATTTTTGAACTTGATCAGGCCTAGAAATCATAGACGGGAGACAACGTGGACGACTCTTGTGATCTTCAGGTAATGCAAACATTTTAATTAAAAAGTTAATTGAAAAATGTTACGAAATAATGCACTAAATATGAGAGAAACAATTATTTTCTTTAAATATATAAAAATGTGCTACGATTATTTAAATGAACTTATTAGAATGTAAGAAGCGTCCCACACTTTTGTTTTTACTTATTTAAATAGCAGTTCATTATTATATATTTTAAGAAATACATTAATTTTCTCCTTTTCATTGCAGTATTACATAAAAGGTTGTTATTAAAATGTTTTTTTTATTTTAAAACTATAGGGTTGCGTGACTAAAACAATATCGCACTAAATGAACACGAACAATGTGCGTATAATAGTGTGGTATATAATACTTTATATAGAAAATGGTAATATAATAATTCATATAGGGAATTGTAACAAATTCTTCCAAAATTAATTAAGAATCCAATTAAGTCAAATTTCATGTCAGATTGCAGTGTCGTTGGGTCTTGACTCACATGCCAGGTTTCGGAAAAATTGGTCGGTTAGAAGTGGTTGAAATTTTGCTCGCCAGTTTTGATCAAGATATAGGAAGCAAATTAAATAAAAGCTTGTTATAATAATACATTTTTGATATAGTTCGATATTAATAAAATGAAAGCTGTTTTGTGTTCTTTATGTGATATAAAACATCTAAACCTAATACGTTTTATGTACTCAGCCAGTAGAGTTACAGGTGTAATATGTTCTTCAGGTCAGATATGTGTATATGGGTGTTACAAGTTTTCTTATATTCATATAAGTAAAATTAAAGAAGTAATATGTTGTATGTCTTAGATGTCAAGAATGTTGGCTACACGGTGTATTTTGTTGACACTTCTGCTCAACACTGTATGCTCATGTAAGTTAATTAAAAACGTGTTTCCTCAATTAAATCAACAGATTAACGCAAGAAATGATAATAAATAGTGCAAAATTACACTTTCAAACCTAGTGGTCCATGTCCTTATGAAGTAAAGTTTACCTATCTCTTTGCCCTCGTAATATGAAAGGATAATGTCGTCAGCACGATGTCCAGCCGCTTTTACGTTCCCAATAGTGAGTCCGGCACAAGTCAGAGCCGGGTGAACTCAGCGAAGTCCTACCCATATTGATCCTTTATCTTGTACTTGTTAATGCTAATTAATAAGCTAATTAAATGTTTTTACTAAGTAGCCAAGAAATTAAATAGCTTACACCTAACCAAGTTAAATTAATTGACTCTCCCCACCTAGTGGTAGTCAGTGTTTTTTCCAGACTTTTTTCTCCGGGGGGGCACTTGAAATTTTCGGGGGGGGGGGGGGGGGGGGCGGTAAACTTTCTTCGGGGGGGGGGGGGGGGGCGGACACTGTTAAAAGTATATATTTTCTATATAAATTACATAAATTTCATTTCGTTCGGGGGGGGGGGGCGGAAATTTTTTTCGGGGGGGGCTTGGACCCCCCCCCCCCCCCGAAGAGATGCCTGGAAGAAACTCTGGTGGTAGTGAGGTTGGTTATATATTTAACCCTACATGTGAACTCAGGCAATTACTTCAATTTAAAGCACGATTTTAATTTTTGTTTGATAACAGTGTTTCATTGTTAAAACACTCATGCATGTTGATCTAGTAATAACTGTTACTATTTCCATTTATAACAGATAAAGTGCTGAAAGTGTATGGTGAGAAATATAGGCTAAGATTTAAGAATAATTAAAATAGATTTTACACATTTTTAACGTTTTAGTCACACAATTTACATTAAAGAAACTAGAATTATGTGCATACATTTATAATAATGTTACAAACAATAAAGTGTGATACAGATTTTTTGCTTTATTTCTATTCCAGAAGCTGACGAACCCATGAATTTCGGTAAGAAATTTATTCATTTTAAAAACACTTTTTAAAAATATATAGAGTTCCAAAAATATTAAAGCTTTTATTAATCTTAAGTTATTGCATTTTTTAGTTAATATTTGAATATACATTCAGTGTATTATCTTAAATTCGTGTATTGTAGATATATTGATCTGTAATCACGGACTAGTAATAAAACAGATGTAATAAACAAATGAAGTAAATGTTTCGCTATGTTTGTTACTAGCGAATAAGGTAAACTCAGATCACTGTGACGGAATTCGAGAGAAAACAATTGCTTTACTATATGAGCTTCAAAATAAACTTTATAAACATATAAACAAAGCGATAGTGCGGTATGAACTTATGGATTTGTTTTAGATAAGTTATATAACAACTATATATATATATATATATATATATATATATATATATATATATATATATATATATATATATATATATATATATATATGTATATGTATATGTATATATATATATATATATATATAAACAAATATACGATGCAAATGTTTTTTGTTTCAACAGAGACAGTAAAAGGTTGCCCAGGTATGTTATGCCGCAAATACATTGTAATATTCATAAAAAACGTTATAATAACAAGCTTTTATGTAATAATGCAGTAAAAATGAGAAAATAAATTATACACTACTATTTCAATAACTATAAAGAAAAGCGTGGATCACTTTAGTATCTATTGGATACCTTCACTAATATTTAGGAAGAGACCCACGCCTACTAATTTGGACAAAATTTTAATTAATTCATAAAAAAATTAATTAGGCATCAAATTAAGTCATCTTCAATATCATGATGCATTGTCCTCATGTATATACCCACGTACCAACTACGAACCGTATCTGTCAGTTAAAAGTGCCCGTAATTTCGCTCGGGCGTTTCGATCTAGACAGACTGACGACTGACGACAGAGGAAGTGAGTTAAATAAAAGTTTGTAATAAATTATAGACTACTATTTAAATAACTATAAAGAAAAGCGTCATTTTCTCCTCCCCCCCCCCCCCCCTGAAGAGATGCATGGAAGAAACTCTGGATGAAAATCGAGAAATAGACCTCATCTGTCTTAACGATTTCTTATAAATGTTGCAAAAGAAAAACAAGGGTTTGGTCTAAAATTCCTAATTTTTCAAACATGATAATTGATGACACTTAATATTAAGGTATTGCGGTTAGGGTTTATTATTTTCTCAAATATTTTATCGCCACCCTGAAAAGTCTTTACTATTTTCCTGACAAAATTATAACAATTTGGAATGGACAGAATATTTATTAGTTCGCTGTCACATAGCTTTCCATTTTAAAAAATACTCAATTCTATTCTGCGATGATATTATTCCCAATAATAATGTATATTGATTTTAATATTCAATAACAATTTTTTTAGCGCTTAATTGTATACATATATGAAAGTCATTCTCCGTAATAGTAAGGTAGACACAGTTCGGCGAACTCCCATGAGTATTCTCGACAACTTCCTAAAGGCTGAGTAATGCATAAAAGACAAACACACAGAAAAGTAGAACTTTCATTTCAACATGCGTAGATAGATTATCAATCAATATTTTTAGAAATGTAACTTTTCTGATAAAAACTCAAGTTTTGCACTTATTGTTAGAGCAGTAGGCCCCATAGAACAAAGTGAAATAACTCAGTTAATATTTTTGCAAAATAATCTGCCTGGCTAATTTCGCCGAATAATCAAAAATTCAATTCTAGTCTTTATTTTTTTTTCTAGGGCCCTTTGGGGAGCTTTTGAGCCCTTGTGGGCAAAATTTAGTTTTTTTTTTTACCGCACAAGACTTTTCAGAAGAATTATCAACCATTCCCCAAAGTTTAACGGTGAAAGTATGAATAATTAACATACACATGCACATACTTTCACTGGTTACGGAAGAAAAGTCGCAGGAAAAAAAACACAAAAAAGTCAGTTTTTGCTAGGAAAAAAAGTCACAGAAAAAAAGTCACAATGGAAAAATTTTATCGGAAAAAAAAGTCACAGAAAAAAAGTCACAAAAATCTTTTCAGAAATATTTTGATTTATTTGTTGCAAATTGTAATTTTTAAAATTTCTTTTATTGTTGTAGGTTATATTTTTTGATAGCATATATTATTTATAGACGTTAAAAGCATAATGGTTTGTAACAATTAAAAGTAAAATAATCTAAGAATTTACACAACAATCTCAACTTTGGTTGCGTATTTAGTTAAATACGCGACAGAAAAGCTAATTTTATAAGAAATGTAGGCACATCATTGTGTTTTGCATATGTTTTGCCGTAGGCTATTCTCCGGTCGGCCTCTCCTCAGTCGACCTTGTCCGAACATATTGTGTTTGTGGACGTTTTGTGCCAATGACAGCCTTTAAACCGTGTCGGCTTTCTGTTTTTATCCCATGCTTTGTTATATAATGAGCGTGATAAATGTGGGCAGTAAAGGTGGTTGAACTAATCATAACTATTGTTGCGATGAGTCGAGGGTAGCAAGTCAGATGAATTTACCATTTCATGGTAATTTAATGTTAGTATTTAAAAAAAACACGATGAAAAACTGAGGACGTTGGAACATTCTATTAAATGCTATTAATATTATGCTTTACATAATTACAATCTACATACTTAAAACTAAATATTTTAGACGAATTATAAACATTACCATGCGTATACAACCTACACACATAACATTACATTTAATTAATCCTAAGTTAATTTTGCACTCTGAATATATAATTCATAAAAGTGTTAACACATTTCATGCAAATATATATTTGTGACTTTTTTCCTGTGACTTTTTTTCCTGTGACTTTTTTTCTGTGACTTTTTTTCCTGTGACTTTTTTTCCTACAATCACTTTCACTTAGGGGTCGTCCATAAATGACGTGACACTCGTAGGGGGAGGGGGGGTTCGTAATTTTGTGACGGTGTGTGATGAGGGGGAGGGAGGGGTTCAGAGGGTGCGACGTCATACTTTGCATTATAAAAAGCAATGTTAGAAAACAGAATTTTTGACGTTATTTCGCGTTTTAGAAATTTTTTTAATAAATTGCAATAGGAATTGAATAAAATACTTTATGTTGACAGAGTTCAGACACGATTTTGAAAAATATCGATGTTTTAAGAAAAAATTCAACTGCGATTTTGAGGGGGGTAGTTGGCTGAAGTGTGATGTCACTTTAGGGGGAGGGGGGGTCTGACTTTTTGTGACGATGTGTGACGGAGGGGAGGGGGGGGGAAAGGTAAAAATCGTCAAAAAAAGCGTGACGTCATTTATGGATGACCCTTTATATATATATATATATATATATATATATATATATATATATATATATATATATATATATATATATATATATATATATATATATATATATATATGTTAAGATTGTGAGTTTATTTGTATGAATAAGTGTATTAAAATTCTCCTTAAATCTAAATTTTATTATATTTCACATTTCTTTCATTTGAAAAATAAAAAGAGTATCAATGTATGTTATGCCGTTAAATACATGACTATGTATAGACTACATGTTTAAATATGTATACATTTTATGTGAGACACTATCCCTTATACAATGTTAGAGGCATTTTAATATTTCGGGGAGGGGGGGGGCGGGGGTATGGAATAATATCGGACACACGTTTTACGCATTCGATTATTTACATGATTAAAATTTAACTTTTGTTTTTATTTTATCAGAGGAAGCTGAAATACTTCACTGTAAAGGTAAGTTGATAAGTGTTCTGGCTACAGCAGGATGAAAAACATATCTTTTATAATTGGCACTGTGTTAAGAAATCAGGCGTTAATCATAGAATAATGACCCTGTAAATATTAACTATTAACTTTTCTTTTCACATAACTCTAATATCTATAATCAGAATGGGCCGTCTATTCGTAAAGGCCCATTAAAATAATTAAAATACATTATAGAAAAGATAGTTCATTTAAGAGACTTTGTCGTTTGACGTTAAACCTCACAAAATGTTTCTGTGTGTTTTTACTTTGTGAGTTGCTAAACAATCGAGGCGTTAAAATTGTGTTAGATTTGACCGTGGGTATCTTTTGGTCACCATAATGTGTGGTTATGTTCAAAAACACATACTTTATATGGTTTTCTAGGAGTAAGTTAAGTAGACCTACCTATAATTTTTGTAACAACGCACGTCTACGAATAAGGCTTAATCTATTATAACGTGGTGGTATACATACAACATTCTACTTTGAATATTTGAAAAAAACAGTGCTATGATGTTTAATTTAGCTGCACCAAAACCAACAACCAGTGCTACAACTGCGCGACAAAAATCCACTACCACTACGCCCGCCCCAGTCCCTCCCAGCGTCCAGCCATGTCTCAAGCGAACAAAGGCCGGCATCATCTTTTTGCTGGACGCCTCGTCTTCGATTGGACCATCGAACTGGAAGAAACAGGTCAAGTTCGCCTCTGACGTCACGGAGGGGTTCAACGTTGGACAGGATGACGTCAGATTTGGGACAGTTATATTCAACAGCGACCCCAAGAAAATATTTGATCTGAATGTCTATTTCAATCACACGAGCTTGTCTAAGGTAGGTAGAACGATGTTTAATCTAGACCAGGGGTCTCCAAACTACGGCCCGCGGGCCGGATGCGGCCCTCGAGGTCCTCTCATAAGGCCCGCGGAGATATTTTTGTCCACAGACAAAACGTTTGTTGGTGGTGGCTGAAGATTTTTGCCCAGAAAAAGAAAAACAATTTTAAAATGTAGCTTTCTGTGCAAATACCATTGCCCGCCGTGTTGCAGACATTGGTGAAAACATTGTGTCTCATATAGCGAAAAATGCAAACAAGTTTCGCCATTTTTAAATGGCAATGGAGGTGTCGCTGGTCAGCTGTTCAAATCCTCACAACTGCTTGTGTTCATTAGAGGTGTAGATGTAGACATTAACACAAGAGCTGGCTTCCCTACATAACATGGTTGGCATTGTTACCGGAGAGGATATATTAAGAAAAAACATTTGCTGATTATAACTTGGCCTGGACTAACTTCAGTAACCTGACTGTTGATTGAGAAAAGTACAAGTGTGGCATAAAGAAAGGCTTGGTTGGACAAGCGAATAAGAAAAATATTATACAACCAGTGTTCCTGCACTGTATTATTCACCAGCAAGCTTTGTGTGCTAAATATATGGAGATTAGCTGTGAAATGAATCCTGTGGTGAAGATGGTGAATTTAATAAGATCACATGGACTCAACCATAGATAGTTCAGAGACATGTCGAAAGAAACAAACATTTTCAAGAATGAAATAGGTGAAGAACAATTTTAGAGTAAACTTGAACCTCGAGTTGTCGGCCCCCGACTGTGTTTCTTTCAGACTTTTCTCTGGGTGGGGGGGGGTGGAAATTGGTATATATTTCTATAAAAATTAAATTTCGTTCGGGGGGGGGGGGGGGGGGGGGAGACGGTCTTCGTGGGGGGGGGGTGTGGAGGGGGGCTCTGCCACCCCATAGACATGTCTGAAAGAAACCGGCCCCCGAACAGAAATTTGATAGTTGATGCAGCCCTCGGGCTAAAAAGTTTGAAGACCCCTGATCTAGACGTTAGAATCAATCATTTAGTCGTGCTATGTGAGCAAAAGTTCAAGTAAGTTGCAAAATATGTTCAAGTAAGGTGCATATCTTGTTAAAGTAAGGTGCATATCTTGTTAAAGTAACGTGCAAATCAAGTTGAAGTAAGGTGCAAAAGTTCAAGTAAGGCGCAAAATATGTTCAAGTAAGGTGCAAAAATATGTTCAAGTAAGGTGCATATCTTGTTTAAGTAAGGTGCATATCTTGTTAAAGTAAGGTGCAAATCAAGTTGAAGTAAGGTGCAAAACTTGTTAAAGTATATTTTTAACACTTCTTTTAAAAAATTCGGCATGCTTCTATTCTGTATCGTAAGTTAAATGGTGTTTAATCTACAAGCAATAAAAAACTGCCATTTTTTGTACAATGCTACTAGGCTCTGCTGGACATAAAGTACCCATTTCTATCCGGCACCAAGACGTACAAAGGTCTACAGTTTATCTTAGACGACAAAATGTTCAGCTCTGCTTCAGGCGGTAGACCAGACGCCAATGATATCGTCATAGTTATGACGGACGGGAAGTCTGACAATACGAAGCTGAGTACGTTCTTTATTCTTAGAAATAATGTCAAATAAATTGTGAATGTGCTCAAATCATATCTATATATATAATTCTCTTCATGGAGACCATAGAAAACACCACGCAGCTTAGCCACCACCCTCATCCCCACCTGTCAGGTGAGCTTTGGTTCACCCCGAATGTTTACAATAGGGCTTGTAAGTAGATCACCAACCCGTTCTACGGCTCAATAAAACCTGCATGAGCCAAGGAACTGCTTGGTGACCTACTTACAAGCCCTATAGTAGAGCCGGTTCGAATAAGTGATGGCTATTAGGGGCAGATAATTTAGTTTTTAAACGATTTAAAACTAAGGGGAGATAATAAGTTCTGCTTGATATTTTCATAGTCGTCTGTAAACGGCTGCTTTCACTGGGCGGGGTGGGGTGGGTGGGTGGGGGCGGGATGGGAGAGGCAGGGGGTGGGGTAGTGTCAAATTCACAACTTTTGAATTGCTGATAAGTAGAAAATAAAACAACTAGATAGCGGCGTATGCTACGTCGCGGGTCAGCTCGTTTAAAATATTTCAATTAAAATTGATTGTGATTTTAATTTATAAAAGTATCAAACAACGACAATAACACAGTCTAAACATAGTACTAATATTAATTGAACACATCCTTCAATGTAAATGTAATATTTTAATGATTAAAAAGCAAGAAAACATTTTTCTTTTTTAATTAGAATGATTATTTTACCTATTTAATACATGTAGGTGGGTCGGTGTGGTTGGGGGAGGGGGGGGTATAGAATAAAAATATTGCTGCTCTGACGACAAGAGGTCGATCTAGGACTAAGTCAGTAGGACATTCATGAGCTCACCAAGCCGAGTAGGCCTACATTTCTTACGTTAGGGAAAACAAAACAAAAAGGTGAGAATTGAGCTAATCAAACTAACGTCTTTCACCGAGGTCACTGAAACACATGAGCTGTACTTGAAATACAGTGGTTATATCATTATGTTGGGCAATCCGGATATGTTTTGTCTCGCTACATGTAATTTAATTAGTTGGTCGAAAACTTGATCTAAAATCACCGATCTGTTTATAAATTACTCATCTAAAATATTTACACGAAATAGGAATTGTCCGAATCTGGGAGGTCTGATTACAATACTACCTGTATACCCCGTTTGTAGTTTTTGGAATGCTGCTTGTATGTATATTTCTACTGTTTTAGCCGTTGAGACCGCTCAAAGGCTTAAAGATCAATATATTACATTGATTGCGGTGGGGATTGGTGATCAGGTCAATGAAATTGAATTGACGACAATAGCAAATGATCCAAGCTATTACTCCAAGGCGAATGACTTCGCAAATCTGGATTTCATTAAACGTGACCTGGTCAAGATGACATGTGACAGTGAGTAAAACTGTATTTTAGATAGTTGTCTGTGGTCAAGTTGACATGTGACAGTAAAGCTGTTTGTATTTTAGATAGTTGTATGTGGTCAAGTTAACATGTGACAGTAAAGCTGTTTGTATTTTAGATAGTTGTATGTGGTCAAGTTAACATGTGACAGTAAAGCTGTTTGTATTTTAGATAGTTGTATGTGGTCAAGTTAACATGTGACAGTAAAGCTGTTTGTATTTTAGATAGTTGTATGTGGTCAAGTTAACATGTGACAGTAAAGCTGTTTGTATTTTAGATAGTTGTATGTGGTCAAGTTAACATGTGACAGTAAAGCTGTTTGTATTTTAGATAGTTGTATGTGGTCAAGTTAACATGTGACAGTAAAGCTGTTTTTTAGATAGTTGTCTGTGGTCAAGTTGACATGTGACAGTAAAGCTGTTTGTATTTTAGATAGCTGTGTGTCTATCATTTAGTAATGCCAAGTGGTGCTTCATTGAGTAAGAATCTGACGTCACAAAATAAAGATCATAAAAAAACTGCTTTGACCATCTTATATTAGTCAGCAAAAAGCTGAACGTATTTCCCTGTCTGTGGTATGACGCAGTAGAGCCGACAAACTTTGCTCAACCGTATTTGGCTCAAATTCTCCCAACAATTTTTGTTTCGTTCTTGTTAACTTAGATTGGGCTCAATATATTTTGCATAAATTCTATTGTAAAAGTTTTTGGTAACTTAAGTTTGGTTCAATAAATTTTCAATACAGCATGTTGTATCAGTTCGTTTCAACTTAAAATGGGCTACCTATATTTTCCGCATACCCTGTTGTACCCAGTGGTGTAGCTAGAGGAGAGCGGGTGTTACCCCGCCCCGGGCGCTGAAGCTAAAGGGGCAACAAAAGTGGTTGAAAAAACTGTAAAGCTCATTTTAAGCTGGGGCACTCAATTATACACAGCCAATGTTAAAAAAGTAAACAAGTAAACAGCCACAAGGCTTTACACGCTGATCAAATTGTTTTCTACATCAATTGGGTTGCACAACAAAAACAATTACGGGATAGTGACTGGTACAAAGTACCACCAATCTTTCTGAATAAAGCGGGGGGGGGGGGGGATAACGCTTTTTGGCGTCATGAATAACAATATATAAATACACAATCTTGTACCAGTTCGTGTAAACTTAATTTGGGCTCAATATGTTCTCCATACACCATGTTGTACCAGCTCGTGTAAACTTAAATTGGGCTCAATATGTTCTCCATACACCATGTTGTACCAGCTCGTGTAAACTTAAATTGGGCTCAATATGTTCTCCATACACCATGTTGTACCAGTTTGTGTAAACTTAAATTGGGCTCAATATATTCTCCATACACCATGTTGTACCTGTTGTTGTTGACTCACACTTTGTGTTTGTTTGATCTCCAGATATTTGACAGCTTTATGAGCCTCCTGCCAGTCTGTGACTCCTCTGATAAGTCAACGACTTTAGCAGAAAGATCTAATAAAATATCAGAGAACTAATGCTTGTGTTAATTTGTGATCATAAAACATATTTTACCCTTGTTTCGTATTTAAATATTTTTTTATATCACCACAACTAATTTATTGAGATTCAGTCACCTAAATATACAACAACTCGCCAATCTTTTAAAATCTAGTCACAAAATACAGTGGTACCTCGACATGCGATTGCCCAAACACAAGAGATTTCTTAGGTACGGGCTGTAGAGTGAGCTCAAGGTTCCTTCTACATGCGAGCAAGATTTAAGCCACAAGTAACCGAATTAGCGGGTTCGACAGTTGCTCGAAAAGAAACAACCCGATAAAGTTGCAACTGAATGTGTACAGCAGCTATTTAGCGACACAACTTTTGATAACTAACTCATTTCCGAAATTGAGGAAAAATACACCTTATTGGCCAGGTTTAGTTTGAAGGCCTGCTTTGAAAAAAAAAGTGAGATAATAATGACAAAATAAGTAAATACCAGAGAATAACAGTGAGAAAAAAAGAGGAAGTAAAAAAATAACATAATCTTGTAGCATTAAGGTTTCATGTTAGGTTTAAGTTACGTCAAGGGATGAAGTGTAGTATTCAGTGTGTAAAAAAAACTGGGGTTGCATTTTGAAGGCTGAAACCCTATGTTGTCATCCTCTCTCTCTCTCTCCACCTGATGTTATCATCCTCTCTCTCTCTCTTCACCTGATGTTGTCATCCTCTCTCTCTACCTGATGTTATCATTCTCTCTCTCTCTCCACCTGATGTTATCATCCTCTCTCTTCACCTGATGTTGTCATCCTCTCTCTCCACCTTATGTTATCATTCTCTCTCTCTCTCCACCTGATGTTATCATTCTCTCTCTCTCCACATGATGTTTTCATCCTCTCTCTCTACCTGATGTTCTCATCCTCTCTCTCTCTACCTGATGTTCTCATCCTCTCTCTCTCTCTCCACCTGATGTTCTCATCCTCTCTCTCCACCTGATGTTGTCATCCTCTCTCTCTCTCTCCACCTGATGTTGTCATCCTCTCTCTCCACCTGATGTTGTCATCCTCTCTCTCTCTCCACCTGATGTTCTCATCCTCTCTCTCTACCTGATGTTATCATCCTCTCTCTCTCTCCACCTGATGTTCTCATCCTCTCTCTCCACCTGATGTTGTCATCCTCTCTCTCTCCACCTGATGTTGTCATCCTCTCTCTCTCTCCACCTGATGTTATCATTCTCTCTCTCTCTCTCTACCTGATGTTGTCATCCTCTCTCTCCACCTGATGTTGTCATCCTCTCTCTCTCTCCACCTGATGTTGTCATCCTCTCTCTCTCTCTCTCTACCTGATGTTCTCATCCTCTCTCTCCACCTGATGTTGTCATCCTCTCTCTCTCTCCACCTGATGTTCTCATCCTCTCTCTCTACCTGATGTTCTCATCCTCTCTCTCCACCTGATGTTGTCATCCTCTCTCTCCACCTGATGTTGTCATCCTCTCTCTCTCTCCACCTGATGTTGTCATCCTCTCTCTCTCTCCACCTGATGTTCTCATCCTCTCTCTCTCTCCACCTGATGTTTTCATCCTCTCTCTCCACCTGATGTTGTCATCCTCTCTCTCTCTCCACCTGATGTTCTCATCCTCTCTCTCCACCTGATGTTGTCATCCTCTCTCTCCACCTGATGTTGTCATCCTCTCTCTCTCTCCACCTGATGTTCTCATCCTCTCTCTCCACCTGATGTTGTCATCCTCTCTCTCTACCTGATGTTGTCATCCTCTCTCTCTCTCTCCACCTGATGTTCTCATCCTCTCTCTCTACCTGATGTTGTCATTCTCTCTCTCTCTCCACCTGATGTTGTCATCCTCTCTCTCTCTCCACCTGATGTTCTCATCCTCTCTCTCCACCTGATGTTGTCATCCTCTCTCTCTACCTGATGTTGTCATCCTCTCTCTCTCTCCACCTGATGTTATCATCCTCTCTCTCTCTCCACCTGATGTTGTCATCCTCTCTCTCCACCTGATGTTGTCATTCTCTCTCTCTCCACCTGATGTTATCATCCTCTCTCTCTCTCCACCTGATGTTTTCATCCTCTCTCTCCACCTGATGTTGTCATTCTCTCTCTCTCTCCACCTGATGTTGTCATCCTCTCTCTCCACCTGATGTTATCATCCTCTCTCTCTCTCCACCTGATGTTGTCATCCTCTCTCTCTCCACCTGATGTTCTCATCCTCTCTCTCCACCTGATGTTATCATCCTCTCTCTCTCTCCACCTGATGTTGTCATTCTCTCTCTCTCTCCACCTGATGTTGTCATCCTCTCTCTCTCTCCACCTGATGTTATCATCCTCTCTCTCTCTCCACCTGATGTTGTCATCCTCTCTCTCCACCTGATGTTGTCATTCTCTCTCTCTCTCCACCTGATGTTGTCATCCTCTCTCTCTCTCCACCTGATGTTTTCATCCTCTCTCTCTCTCTCCACCTGATGTTTTCATCCTCTCTCTCCACCTGATGTTGTCATCCTCTCTCTCTCTCCACCTGATGTTATCATCCTCTCTCTCTACCTGATGTTCTCATCCTCTCTCTCCACCTGATGTTGTCATCCTCTCTCTCTACCTGATGTTGTCATCTTCTCTCTCTCTCCACCTGATGTTATCATCCTCTCTCTCTCTCCACCTGATGTTGTCATCCTCTCTCTCTCTCCACCTGATGTTGTCATTCTCTCTCTCTCTCCACCTGATGTTATCATCCTCTCTCTCTCTCCACCTGATGTTGTCATCCTCTCTCTCTCTCCACCTGATGTTGTCATTCTCTCTCTCTCCACCTGATGTTGTCATCCTCTCTCTCTCTCCACCTGATGTTGTCATTCTCTCTCTCTCTCTACCTGATGTTGTCATCCTCTCTCTCTCTCCACCTGATGTTATCATCCTCTCTCTCTCTCCACCTGATGTTGTCATCCTCTCTCTCTCTCCACCTGATGTTGTCATCCTCTCTCTCTCTCCACCTGATGTTGTCATCCTCTCTCTCCACCTGATGTTCTCATCCTCTCTCTCCACCTGATGTTGTCATCCTCTCTCTCTCTCTCTACCTGATGTTGTCATTCTCTCTCTCTCTCCACCTTATGTTATCATTCTCTCTCTCTCTACCTGATGTTGTCATTCTCTCTCTCTCTCTCTCTCTCCACCTTATGTTATCATTCTCTCTCTCTACCTGATGTTGTCATTCTCTCTCTCTCTCTCTCTCCACCTTATGTTATCATTCTCTCTCTCTACCTGATGTTGTCATTCTCTCTCTCTCTCTCTCTCCACCTTATGTTATCATTCTCTCTCTCTCTCCACCTGATGTTGTCATCCTCTCTCTCTCTCCACCTGATGTTGTCATTCTCTCTCTCTCTCCACCTGATGTTATCATCCTCTCTCTCTCTCCACCTGATGTTGTCATCCTCTCTCTCTCTCCACCTGATGTTGTCATTCTCTCTCTCTCTCCACCTGATGTTGTCATCCTCTCTCTCTCTCCACCTGATGTTGTCATTCTCTCTCTCTCTCTACCTGATGTTGTCATCCTCTCTCTCTCTCCACCTGATGTTATCATCCTCTCTCTCTCTCCACCTGATGTTGTCATCCTCTCTCTCTCTCCACCTGATGTTGTCATCCTCTCTCTCTCTCCACCTGATGTTCTCATCCTCTCTCTCCACCTGATGTTGTCATCCTCTCTCTCTACCTGATGTTATCATCCTCTCTCTCTCTCCACCTGATGTTATCATCCTCTCTCTCCACCTGATGTTCTCATCCTCTCTCTCTCTACCTGATGTTCTCATCCTCTCTCTCTACCTGATGTTATCATCCTCTCTCTCTCTCCACCTGATGTTGTCATCCTCTCTCTCTCTACCTGATGTTCTCATCCTCTCTCTCTACCTGATGTTCTCATCCTCTCTCTCTCTCCACCTGATGTTGTCATCCTCTCTCTCTACCTGATGTTATCATCCTCTCTCTCTCTCCACCTGATGTTATCATCCTCTCTCTCCACCTGATGTTCTCATCCTCTCTCTCTCCACCTGATGTTGTCATCCTCTCTCTCTACCTGATGTTATCATCCTCTCTCTCTCTCCACCTGATGTTATCATCCTCTCTCTCCACCTGATGTTCTCATCCTCTCTCTCCACCTGATGTTCTCATCCTCTCTCTCCACCTGATGTTATCATCCTCTCTCTCCACCTGATGTTCTCATCCTCTCTCTCCACCTGATGTTCTCATCCTCTCTCTCCACCTGATGTTTTCATCCTCTCTCTCTACCTGATGTTATCATCCTCTCTCTCTCTCCACCTGATGTTATCATCCTCTCTCTCCACCTGATGTTCTCATCCTCTCTCTCCACCTGATGTTGTCATCCTCTCTCTCTCTCCACCTGATGTTATCATCCTCTCTCTCTCCACCTGATGTTGTCATCCTCTCTCTCTCTCCACCTGATGTTGTCATTCTCTCTCTCTCTCCACCTGATGTTGTCATCCTCTCTCTCTCTCCACCTGATGTTGTCATTCTCTCTCTCTCTCTACCTGATGTTGTCATCCTCTCTCTCTCTCCACCTGATGTTATCATCCTCTCTCTCTCTCCACCTGATGTTGTCATCCTCTCTCTCTCTCCACCTGATGTTGTCATCCTCTCTCTCTCTCCACCTGATGTTCTCATCCTCTCTCTCCACCTGATGTTATCATCCTCTCTCTCTCTCCACCTGATGTTGTCATCCTCTCTCTCTCTCCACCTGATGTTATCATCCTCTCTCTCCACCTGATGTTCTCATCCTCTCTCTCCACCTGATGTTGTCATCCTCTCTCTCTACCTGATGTTGTCATCCTCTCTCTCTCTCTACCTGATGTTCTCATCCTCTCTCTCCACCTGATGTTGTCATCCTCTCTCTCTCTCTACCTGATGTTGTCATTCTCTCTCTCTCTCTCCACCTTATGTTATCATTCTCTCTCTCTCTACCTGATGTTGTCATTCTCTCTCTCTCTCTCTCTCTCTCCACCTTATGTTATCATTCTCTCTCTCTACCTGATGTTGTCATTCTCTCTCTGTCTCTCTCTCTCCACCTTATGTTATCATTCTCTCTCTCTCTCTACCTGATGTTGTCATCCTCTCTCTCCACCTGATGTTATCATCCTCTCTCTCTCTCCACCTGATGTTCTCATCCTCTCTCTCCACCTGATGTTGTCATCCTCTCTCTCTACCTGATGTTGTCATCCTCTCTCTCTCTCTACCTGATGTTCTCATCCTCTCTCTCCACCTGATGTTGTCATCCTCTCTCTCTCTCTACCTGATGTTGTCATTCTCTCTCTCTCTCTCCACCTTATGTTATCATTCTCTCTCTCTCTACCTGATGTTGTCATTCTCTCTCTCTCTCTCTCTCTCCACCTTATGTTATCATTCTCTCTCTCTCTACCTGATGTTGTCATTCTCTCTCTCTCTCTCTCTCTCCACCTTATGTTATCATTCTCTCTCTCTACCTGATGTTGTCATTCTCTCTCTCTCTCTCTCCACCTTATGTTATCATTCTCTCTCTCTCTCTTCTTGATGTTCTCATCCTCTCTCTCCACCTTATGTTATCATTCTCTCTCTCTCTACCTGATCTTTTCATCCTCTCTTTCTCTCCACTTTATGTTATAATCCTCTCTCTCGACCTGATGTTCTCAATGTTTATAATTGGATCTTGTAAATTTAATTAATACCACATTTTCGTTTAACATTCGCTCAAAAAGAAAAATATCCCACAAAAAATGAAACTTTTATATTTTAATATGCAGCTTTGAAATTCGACATAAAATGACAGTGTCTTCAGAAACGTAATTTTCAAAGATACACGTCAAACTTGGAAGACTTTCTCTCTACTTGAATATACCACGTCTTCTAGACTGGCTTTGTCTCGAGTAGGAATAAATATCTGTAAAATCGAAAACATGACATTTTATATTAAATTATAAGGTATATGAAACAGAAATATGAATGTAACTCAACTTTTATTCTAAAATGGATTTAAGAGCTAAATTTATTGTAATGTGTTTAAATATAGATGTAACAATTAATATATAAAAATAAATGTAGGTCTGTTAATTTGGGTTTTTTAAAAATCTGTTTATGAATAGAAACTTTTGGAGAGTACAATCCAGCAAATGGTTTTTCTATTAAAGAATTTTACATATCGGCCTTAGTTCCCCCCCCCCCCTCCCGATTATCTTTAAAATTATAAAGGAAATTATCCAATAATAGATCATGTTGAAATCATGTTGCAAATATTTTTTTTCTTTAACCCATGAAGGTTGGTTTCTGTCATATATATATAATTCCCTTAAAATACTTTCTCAAATATTCTCAGAGAAAAAATATTTAATAAGCTATTATACACTAGTGAAGGTTAACTTTTTGGAACGTATATTGTAATCGATAATGATTAGATTGTGTTTGTAGATTTACCAAGAAGACTTTATTCTACGTCTTGAAGATTTTATTATATGTGTGTATTTACCAAGAAATTCTTCATTCTACGTCTTGGTAATTAGATTGTATGTGTATATTTACCAAGAAATTCTTCATTCTTCGTCTCCTTCAGAATCATGTCTCTTCAGCAGACCACCTATTCATGTAATGAAAATAAAAAATAAAAATTAATGTATACTTATGTTATTCATGCTGGCCTGTAATCGGATATAACTGTTAGTTAAAAGTCTATTCAAAAGTTGATTAGTGTTAGACGTATGTAAAACAGAGAGGAAGAGCACAACAAACAATGTACTTATACTGTAACAACACTTAATAAAGTCTAGATCTAGATCTAGTACTAACTCCAATCATCCAACCTATTTTTTTGCACTGAAGCTAAACACGGGAACTAAAAACAAAACAAATCCTACTGGTAACTTTACCTTTTAAAATAACATTACACAAAGCAAATATAGCATGCCATAATAAAACATTATTTTGTGATTAAGCTTGCATCTCAAAATTATTAAATCTAAAATATTGAGTATTATTTGTTATACCTCTAAATTATTACTCTAAAATATTGAATATGTATTATTTGAAATACCTCTAAATTATTACTCTAAAGTATTGAGTATTATTTGCTGCAACTCTAAATTATTACTCTAAAATATTAAGTATTATTTGCTACATCTCTTTGCTGCAGCCATAAAAATAGTACCAGGGAAAAACATCAATGGAATAAAATTTCTATATTTAATGAAGTTTGACGAATAACATTCTCAAATGATTGATTAATAACTCAAATACTGTTTTTGTGTAGATCTTACAATTAGCCATAGGCTATTTATAAAGACTAAATAATCATTGGTTTCTAATTATAACTGACAAAACACAAAGAACTCAAGTTTCTAATTTATGAATATTAAATGTTCATCTCAAATTTTGTGGCCTCAATAAAAATAAAACCAAATTTATATTAAATTATATTTACTAAAGACTGTGACTAGTGTGTTTATTAAGCAGCATATATCCAGCATGACTCGGGTTTAGGAAATAAATTACTTTTCAAATTAGATTGCTCTAAATAAACATGGAAATTTGAGAAATAAACACCTAACCCTAACATGACTCAAACTTTGAACTGTACTCTAATCACAAATCAACTACAACTAAAACCCAATTCAAACTTAAACATCAACTTCGGGCAAATAAAGACTGAAACGAAAAGTTAAACGCAAGCGTAAATACAAACGCAAACACAAATACAAACTAAAACACAATGCAACACAAATTCGAGGGCAAACTCAAACGGAAACAAAAAGAAAACAAGAAACAAAGCAAACGCAACGCAAACACAAACAACTCTACAAGCGCAAAAGTAATCTAAAAAACAAACACAATCGAAAAGCAAAATAGAAAACTCAAATTTAAAGAAAACGCATACGTACACATAAAAACGATCGCACACATGACAACGTCCAATATAAAGTTTCTAAACATACAGTTCAAATAATGACGTTTTTCTTTTCGTGTAATTTTTGTGACTTTTAAAATGTTTAGGCCTATGTTTCGTTACTTCTGATTAGATAGAATTATTTCTATTTAGCTTCATGCGACTTGTTCTGTGTGGCTGTGAACGTTTTTACTTTTAAGTTGTTTACTATATGCATGTCTTGCACATACATATGTACAGAGGTACATATTTTGTATCATATATATATATATATATTCAATTTTAGAAAACAAACACAATATTCACCAAGTAATCTTTTCTCAACTTCTTCAGTATCCCTTCTCAAGATACCGCCTATATAGATAAATAAATGGATATATATATATATATATATATATATATATAATATATATATATATATATATATATATATATATATATATATATATATATATATATATATATACATTGATAGTTCATATAAACATTTTTTCAGAACATAGTAAATTCAAACTTACTTATTATAAAAATAATAATATATAATAAATAAATAAATAAATATATATATTTATATATATATATATATATATATATATATATATATATATATATATATATATATATATATATATATATATATATATATATATATATATATATATATATATATATATATATACATATATATAAATGTGTGTATATATATATATGTATTTTTATATTTAAATATTCATAAATATATTTATATATATATATATATATATATATATATATATATATATATATATATATATATATATATATATATATATATATATATATATATATATATATACGTATATATATATATATATATATTATTTTTACTTAGTTGATTTTTTCTTGGTATTTTAGAAAACAAACACAATATTCACCAAGTAATCTTTTCTCAACATCTTCAGTATCCCTACTCAAGATACCGCCTATATAGATAAATAAATGTATATATATATATATATATATATATATATATATATATATATATATATATATATATATATATATATATATATATATATATATATATATTACATTTATAGTTCATATAAACATTTTTTTCAGAACATAGTAAATTCAAACTTAATTATTATAAAAATAATAATATAAAAATAATAATATATATAATATATATATATATATATATATATATATATATATATATATATATATATATATATATATATATATATAAATGTGTGTATATATTATATATATATATATATATATATATATATATATATATATATATGTATATATTCATAAATACATTTATATATATATAAGTATATATATATATATATATATATATATATATATATATATATATATATATATATATATTATTTTTACTTAGCTGATTTTTTCTTGGTATCGCAGAATATAGAAAAATAAAACTCTAAATGACTCATTCACAAGCCTAACTAATTCCTATTTAAAAAAACATATATATATATATATATATACATATATATATATATATATATATATATATATATATATATATATATATATATATATATATATATATATATTCAATTTTAGAAAACAAACACAATACTCACCAAGTAATCTTTTCTCAACTTCTTCAGTATCCCTTCTCAAGATACCACCTATATAGATAAATAAATGGATATATATATATATATATATATATATATATATATATATATATATATATATATATATATATTCAATTTTAGAAAACAAACACAATATTCACCAAGTAATCTTTTCTCAACTTCTTCAGTATCCCTTCTCAAGATACCACCTATATAGATAAATAAATGGATATATATATATATATAAGTAGTATAGTAGGTCCCCTTTGGGTATTATTGAGGAGGAGGAGGCGAGGGGGAGGAGGAGGAGGAGGAGGAGTGATTGATTATTTTGACCGTTATTGATTGATTTTTTGCCCACCTGTTGCATATTTTGACCGTTATTGATTGATTCTCGACCACCTGTTGCATATTTTGACCGTTATTGATTGATTCTCGACCACCTGTTGATTTGTGTTCCTGTTTTTTGACCAACTATTGATTTTTTAGCCCGTTGTTGATTGTTCATTAAACAACTGTTGATTATTTTGACTAGTAGGTTATTGTTTTGATCGGTATGTTGACCACTTGACCACTTGTTGACCAAAACGATTATCATAGAGGAGGAGGAGGTTATTGTTTTGATCAATTGATCGATATATTGACCAGTTGACCAACTGACCACTTGAGCTATTGTTTTATTAATGGTTAAATAATAATGTTATACATTTTGTTGACCAACTGACCAGTAGTTGACCAGATGATCAGTTTATCGGTTGTTGACCAGTTGCCCATTTGTTGGTTGTTTTTATTGACCTGGACGACAGTCCGGCTTTAACAGTATATCGTAAAATAGTATTTCACCACCCTCCAGTGAGGGTGTGGGTGGGGGTGACGCGGGTGAAACCCGGGGTCGGGTGGGGGAGGTGGTAGCAGGTGGTACCCCTTCCCTTTGTGTGTTGCAATCTCATTCTCCCTTTGTCTGAAGTCTGTGTGACCATGTCCTTTTGTGCGCCGCTACTCGCGTCATACACAAAGGCAGGTGCTGTACCCCATTGTCTAATCCAACTCACGCGCCTTTACTATCGATTTTTTTAAAAGTCATGTTTAAACATGTTGACCGTATAAAATCTTTGTTGAATAGGCCTGGTGGATGTCGAATTCTACTCGTCTTAATATAAAGAGATACATCACGTGCCAACACCCGAGGCGGTTATTGCCCCCCTTCCTGGTTTCTACTTGGTTGTTGTGTTTATGGCTGGCCGTTTATTTACACACAAACACACACACACAACTTACACACAACTTATAGCACAACAAAAGACTTCTTATATTTTATGAATTTATTTCAACTTTCTCCAAGTCATCAAACGCTTTTAAAATATCATATCTCAGGGCGAGTAAACGCTCAAAGGCTATACGAGAGAGATTTATTCCAGAATTATTAGGAAATTTAAGATCTGTACCATCCATAAGATCTCTAAGATTTAAAGTGTTTTTGTTCATGAATTGACTAACGATAGCTACTTTATAACCACTGTCATTCGTCGTTCGTATTTCCGTCACCTTATTACTATTCCGGGCGACAAGTAACCAATCTTCACTAGACATCTTGAAAGCGCCGAAATAAACGTTTATAAGTAGTCCCAATAAGTGCAAGTGTTAAACGTGATATAAGTCGATCGTTAATATATTGTCGAGCCGGTGACGGTGAAAAAGGGTGGAGAATAAGTTTTAGGCTAGCTCCACCAAAACAAAATAAACCGCGAACGGATGGTAGTGTAGTTCAACGACCTCCTGAAATCGCGGGTGATGCAGCACGCGACCACCTTCTTTTGTACTTTGTGAGGTCAATAACCTTTGTATAAACATCCGCGTTGTCTGCTTATAGAATAGTCGATAAAAATTACGGCGCTAAACTCGGGACCAATCGTAAGTGTTAAAACACGCGCACGTCAATCCTGGTATGCAGTACACAATGGACCGCTCCACCCTTCCCCGTGTTTACACCCGCGGTGTCTGCGTATAGAATTTTGAATAAATTTAGCATGTAGTAATGTTTACAAATTCCACGCACAACCGAAACACGGCACGCGTCGACCGCCCATTGTATTCTGTGAGGACAATACCCATTGTATGGGTAGCTGAGGGGCGGATAATAGGCTTTGAAAACCCGACCGCGTCTTGGTCCAAAGGGACGACTCGTTTCACTGCGCAAGCGTGAAACAGGCGATATAAATAAATTAGATTTTTTTTGATTTTATGTATCAAGCAGGTGATGAGGTATGTTTTGTTTTTAAACCAAGGATCGGAGGGAGAGTTCAATGACCTCCACATCTGCGTTACCCACGCCTGCATAATTAGACCACGCGTTCATAGTGAGGCTTTATGTTTTTGTTTTTTAAACCAAGGATTGCAGTAGAGTTCAACGACCTCCACATCTGCGTTACCCACGCCTGCATAATTGACCCACGCGTTCATAAAGTATAAATTCAGACGAAATTTTACTTCAAACACTACTTCTCAAGACTTCAACTCATCTTCACGTCCAGCCAACCAACCATCCTGCTACGGACTACATACCTTGTGATACCGCGTCCACTGAACTAACTATACTGCTACGGACCGCATACTTTGTGATTCCGAGTTCACTTCATCTTAGACATTCACATCATCCAGCACTAAGGTAAGGTTAATATTTTTATTTTTTATTATATATATATATATGTATATATATTCTTTTAAGGGAGTTAACTCAGCGAATATAAAGATACGTTTATTCCCTTTAATAAAATTTTATTTATTTATTTTCTTGTAGTCAAATGCATTCGCTTTAATTTGTAATATACACCCAACCCAGCCATTATATTACTAATGAAGATACGTTTATTCCCTTTAATAAAAATTTTTTTATTTATTTACTTTCTTGTAGTCCAATGTATTCGCTTTAATTTGTAATATACACCCAACCCACCCATTATATTACTAATGAAGATAGGTTTATACCCTTTAATTAAATCTTATTTATTTTCTTGGAGTTAAATGTACTAGCTTTAATTTGTAATATACACCCAACCCAGCCATTATATTACTAATGAAGATAGGTTTATACCCTTTAATTAAATCTTATTTATTTTCTTGGAGGCAAATGTACTCGCTTTAATTTGTAATATACACCCAACCCAGCTATTATATTACTAATGAAGCTACGTTTATTCCCTTTAATAAAATTTTTTATTTATTTACTTTCTTGTAGTCAAATGTATTCGCTTTACTGTTAATCTGTAAGTTACGAGTTAGAATCCGGACTCAAGACAGTAAACCACCCCTGAGTACTTTTGTTGTCGTTATTTACGTTAGGGAAAGTAAATAGTGCTGACCACACTAACTCTTCATATACTGAAGCTACAGAAACAAGTGAACTCTACTGCACTTGTCCTATATACCAGCAGCTTTGAAAAGGGAACTTTATTTTTTACCCTTTAATTATATCTTTAATTTTAAAAATAAGTAGTCATTGGTATTCGTTTTATTTTTTATTTTTTTATTATACAGTCAACCCTAACCACTGAACAAGCAATTGAACTAGCCAAAAATCCAACCCACCCATATCCAGCCGAACCAACCACATACACCAACCCTCCGACTGACAGCTCTCAAGCCGGCTTAGACATTAACATTAAAAAGTAAGTTCAATACTGTTTATTTTATTTATTTTATTTTATTTATATATTTTAATGGAATTAACCCGTTAATATAAAAATACGATTATACCCTTTAATTAAAGTTTATTTATTTTTTAAATAAGTTGTCAAATATATTTACTTTAATTTTATTTACGATTATTTTTTATTTTTTCTTTCTTACTTGTACAGACAGACTGAGATGCAAACCACCCATCCAGGCACTCACTCAACCATGAACAGATATGAATGCGCCACCTGTCCACGTGTGTTCAACAGGAGTGACAATTTGAAACGCCATCAAGCTACTGCGCACGCCAGAGGAAAACATCAGTGCACAGAATGTGGCAAAATATTCACACGACCTGACAATTTGAAACGACACACCACCACAGCACACACCACTCTACTTACACCAATCGATACCCCATCAGCATCTGACAGACAAAGTGAACAACCGACATTAACATTTGACAGACAAACTGAACAACCTGCATCATCAAATGACAGACAAACAGACAACCTACCTATACAATTAAAGAGACAAAGGACCTATGACGAAACAACAAACAAACGCCTAAAAACACCTCACAACGACAGTAACGTTAATGTTGACACCAACGCTATACTTGTAGATGCCCTAAGGGGAGATGTGGTAGACCTAGATTTAGAGGAAATGAACGACTTAGACTTACCGTTCGACGAAATTGACACCATTTACAACTTAAACAGCGAATTACAAAACATATACATTGATAATTGGCACGCCATACAGACACACGCAACTACAGGCAAACATATATCCAGTTTCACATCGACTAAACCTAGGGGCTTGTTTCTATAATCGTTAAGTCGCGTCGTGTAGAGCTGTAGTGTCTTTTGATATTGTTTCACTTTGTCGTGTGGTGACAAATCTTCCCTATTTAAGATATGTTCCATTTGCGTATCCAAGAGGCGTAGACTATCGTTGAGTGTGTCGGGTGGTACATAGGGTTTTTGTTGCATAGACTCTAATATACGAGGATCCATTAAAATCATTTTTCTGGCCATCCTTAAAATCCCAAGACACCTTTAAGCACACCAAGGACTGGTCCGAGTAAAGCACCTATGAAACCTCCGGTCTGTAAAATTTCCTTTCGTCTTTTGACGGTCAATTTCTTTTTGGTAAGTTGTCTCAAGCTCGCTTTGTGACGACGCAGACGTCTCTTCTGAACCGGTGTGAGGGGAACGTTGCCTTTTAAGACATTGTGACAGCACTCGCATAATGTTTTTACGAGGTGGGGCGAAGCATTTTTGACAACTGCTTTCACGACGGGTGGTTTTGCCCGAGCCAATAACCTTAACATTTCACCTTGTCGTTTTACTGACTCAGACATGTTTGCTTTTTTTATTTTGGAACGTAAACAACTTGTTGCTCGTGAGAAAAGATACAACTACGTAATCTCAGATTATCCGGTGTTTCCTGTCGAAGGTCGATCAACAAATAACCATGAGGGGCCGATGTCGCGTCCTTAAAACTTTCCTGGACATATGAAACGCGACCTGGG